AGTTTTTAGATACAATAAATGTAAAAACCTGAAACTGTATATTCCAAGTCTTGAATTGATAACTGTTCTTTTAAATTCAGGTTCTTAAAATTACAAGCCGCAATAAATAAATAAATACAAATTTAGCATGCCATAACCAATATTGTGACTCTAAAGTACTCTTCAGTACTTTTGACCTGATGTCAGATCACTTCCCTCCATTACGTCAAAATCCTGGGAATGTTCACAACAAAGTTAATTTGGTGCTATATTAGATTGATGTCACATAGTTTGGGAATTTGTTGGGTGTCACACTGACTGACCTTACTGAATGTTTCGCTCTTATGCCACAAAATGAGGGAAAAAGGTAGGAACTCTATTAAGTAACTTCAGCGAAAACTGGGTGTGCATTTATAGTTTTTGAAAATGGAAGAAAATGGAACACTTTTGCGTTTTAGTTGCTCATAATTTGAAGAAAAATCATCCACCTGTGACACAGTGACAGAAATCTAGGACACAGTTTATTTCTTCTTTTTCTTTTTTTTTCTTTCAGAAATGATAGATTGCACATTGTTTGCCATGCACCAAATGTTTCCTGACCATATACTTTCATTTTAGCAGTGCATTTATGTACTTGGCAGATGCTTTCTCACTCACTCACTGACAAGAAAATTTTAATGGTGTATGTGTGTTTCTAGTCTTTCACCAGTACTGGAGCACAAGCCCCCATCAAAAAGTGTCCCTATATATATATATATATATATATATATATATATATATATATATATATATATATATATATATATATATACAACAAAAATATATAGGGGAAAAAACGTACAAAAATACTGATAAGATAATGATACGAATTCATAAGAACAATATAAAACGCACTAAGGATTAATGAGCTGCTGGATTCATGAATATTAAGCAGGTTGTGTGCGTTCGCTGATTTGCTGAAATCAAAACAGGGACGATAATAGGTGAGCGCCAGCCAATGAGATTGCCATTTGCGCATTAGTTCTGCCCACTACTGAAGAAAGTGGCAGTTCTTAAAAGCTGAAGAATTCCAAAGGAATGCTGTTATTTTGGCAGGAAAACGCAACAAAGAATATCGTTTACATGTAGCGCGTCAATTCTCTCTCTCTGCGTGTGTGTGAGACAAAGCAACGGCGAGTCGTGCGCTTTCACACTAGAGTTTACGGTACGTTAAATACAGGTGCGCTGCGCATCCATTCAGATGAACTGAAAAATATCACAGATCAGTTGATGGAGAGTGAAACTCTGAAGCGCTCAGTCAGCGAGTGAAAATATATCTGTGCTAAACTTATACTTAGCCTCCAACTCACACACTGGCGAGTAAAATCTGAGAATTGATTAGCCATTGGCTAATATTAGACATCATTTAGTCACCCAGAGTGAAGATTTAGT